AACCTAGGATAGCAGCAGTCCTGCCCCTCTGGATGTACATCCTGCCTCTGGCCTCCTGTGAACCCCACCAAGCCAGAGACCCTGAGCCCTTAACAGCTGTGGCTACGCTGGCTCCGAATTCTGTGGAAGGTTCTAAGAATAAATAAACACACTTCACTTTTCAGTGCGTGACAATGGATGGTACACAGATATAAACAAGGGATAGAACCAGAGAGCGGGGAGCTTTGGAAGCTGGTAAATAAAACCTTTGGAAGTGAAAAATGCCACCCCCTGGATACAAAGAAGAGGACCAAAGGGAGATTTGTGGTCCCAGAGAAGCCTTTCTCTCCATCTGGTTAAACATGGTGCTGAAAAATAACTTCAGTCTCATTCCAGGAAGAGAGAGAGACAAACTGAAAGAGTTGCAGGGAGAGAGAGAAGTCCCTGCGTTCCTGACTTTCTAATCACTCGACAAGCACTATGTGCCACGCAACGCATTCGAGCACCTGCCCTTGTGGAAAAGTGGGAGAAGGAAGCCATAATTTACTGAAGTTGAACGGGATCCCAGGGGAAGTAAAACCCGGGAGCCCGAAGAAGAGAGTGTGCAATGCAGGCGACTGAAGTTCCAGCATGTCCGTAACCTCCCCTTAGTGGTTCTCAACCGAGGAGGCTGCCGCGTGCTTGGGAGAGGGAGACTCCATCAGCCTTCAAGTGACAAAGCTGGACGTGGGCAAATCTGCAGAAATGCCCTAAAACGGAAGCATAAACTGGCTGTCCAGGTTCAACTGGATTAGCTGCCAATGTCATTAAATTGAGAGGTTTCCCATAAAAAAAAAAAAATCCCAACTCCCAGGTTGTTTTTTCCGAAAATTGAATTTGACAGCTCTGGGCCGAAGACCTTGAAGGTAATGGTGAGGGGGTGGTGGGTGGTCTCTGGCTGAGTGAAGCCCCTTGCAGCAGGGAGAACGGGGCGCTCGTACCTCTGCAGACGCCGTGGTGAAGGTGTTCCGCTTGGGCAGACAGGAGAGCTACTGCCGCTGGGGACAGTTCTGTGTCTTTGCTTGGGCGGCCGCTGCCCCGTTCAGAATTCCATCTCCTTACACCAGGCCCTGTCATCATGCACTTAACTCTACTAAACACAAGTCAAATCAGATTGTAGGAAGCACAGAAACACCAAATCCTCAGTCAGCCAGGAGGCGCAAGTGAAAGGGGTTAAAGGATGTCTGTTTCTGGGGAGATAAAGTCCCATTTGCCGAGCACAGCTCTCAGTCCTTTGCACATGCTGTCTGCTTTCAGCCTCACGACAGAACCTAGGTGGCAGGTCACGTTAAACAACCACATTTTGCAGATGAGGGAACTTGGGCTCGCAAGTTGCAGTAAGGATTTGAACCACTGGGGCTTTGCTATGGTTTGGAATCACTCAACATACATGCAGTTTTGAAAAAAGGGCTCAGAAACTTATATTTCATCCACCTCTGTCCTGCTCCAGGGCAGAGCATGGGCGGCGAGGGGGGACGGTCAGTCTAGGATGCTGGAAATGTGTGCATGGTCTGAGCAGGAAAGATGATGCCAGGTGAGAGGGCACCCAGGCTGAGAGTGGTCCAGCCGAGGGGAATCGGTGGTGTGACCACGTTTCCTAAACCAGAACTGAAGTGGGTCCAGACCTTGGGGGATCTCCTCACAAGGGCAAGACACTCGGGAAATGGGAATCAGTACTGGAAAACCGGCTTTATGATTGCCAGGGTGCCAAGAGCCAAGCCAGCTGGTCAGGTAACAGCAGTGGCTAGTATTTATGGAGTTGGCTTCAGTATACACTAAGCGGGGTGCTGAGCACGCCACATGGCTAACGTGTCTGATGTCAACAGCTCTGTGAGGCAGGTACTATCATTATCCTCACTGCACAGGTGGGGAAACCGAGGTGCAAAGAGAGGTTCAGGAACTTGTCCAGCATCTCAGTTAGTAACCAGTGGAGCTGGGATTGAAGCTCTTCAGTTGTTTCCGGAGTCTGTAATCATAAACCCTACATTTGCCACTTGAGTTGGCCAAGGGCCAGCCAGGCAAACAGAGGACCAAGGTTGAGGTGAGGGAATCATCTGAGGACAAAGAAGCAGGTGTCAGGAGCCAGCACCTGAACAAACAGTGTCAGAGGCCCAGCACGGGGAAGTCAGCCTCAGAGGTGAAAATCCAGCATTGAACCCAGTGCTCTTGGGAGTGTAGAAATACAGGCTCTCCCACCATGCAGGGGGAAGGGTCATTGCATAGGTTCCCTGGAGCAGGCAGTTTGCCTGAATCTGTGAAGCCAGAAACCCGTCCTCTCCATATTTACTCCAGAGAAACCCTTGTCAGTTCCTGCTGTGGGTGGAAGACACAAGGAAACATGTTGAAAGATGATGGTTGTCACACTGTTCATAATAGCAGAGGGACCAACCTAAGTGTCCATCAGGAGGGGAATGACTAAGTCAGTTGTAATGAACCCACACTGGGGAGTGCTGTCCAACAGGAAACATACATACATCTCCTCCCCCATGAGGGGATTCCAAAATCACTGAGGCGGCCGCAGAGCTCGGCCACTCAAATCTCCCTTTCAGAGAAGACTTGTCACTGGTGGGGTGAGGACTGTGTGAGCTGACCCCCAGCTGCAGAGCTTCAGGGATTCACTACAGCATTTGAGTTAAGGCCATGCTTATCCTCAGTGTCCTCCAACTAATGGCTGACCACAGCGGGGTACGAAGTCCTGGCTCCTGCCTGGGGAGGGGCTCCTCTGAGGGGCAGTAACCCTGAACTCCCCAGTGGGCTGGCCACGACTCTGTCAGATCCGCAGCACATGCCCTGCCTGCCAGCCCTGCTCCAGCCCCCTTTGTCTTCCACGGGCATCACTCCCAATCCACCTCTTACACTCTTGAGGCCCTCAGCATCTGCTTCCCGGGAGGACCCCACACTGACACAGCCATTGATGAATGAAAACTGCAGGTTGCAGGACAGTGCATACACTAAGATACCATTTATGTAAACAAACACAGTACATACCCTACATGACTAAATATTTTCTTAAGATAGAGAAGAAGGAAAAAAGAAGAAAAGGAGGGAAGGAAGGAAGAACAGAAGAGTGGGCAGGAGAGGAAGGTAGGGAGGAAGGAACCTTACACACAAAAACCCCGTATTTTTCTCTGCATTTATATATGTGGGTGGAAATATATTGAAAAGTTCTGGGAAAAGCACACCCAATCAGTAACAGTAGTATTTTCTTGGCGTGGATCAGGGGGCGCAGTTTGGGGGTGATGCATGACCAGGACTTGAGATTATCTGAATTGCTTTACTCTCATTACAAGGAGAACACATTCAGACATTGCTTATGTAATTAAACAATTTTAAGACTTACACCAGCCCTTGAGAGTCCAGGTCACTTGAGCTGAAACTAAGTTTACTCAGAGAAGTTCCCCAGCATCTCAGCTGGAGTCCGAGTCCTTTCAAGTGGGGACCAAGACCACACGGTGAGGTTCCATCCTCCAAGGGTCTCATAAGCCCTAGCCTACTCCATTCCCCGCCTCTGCTGGAATAGCTGATGGCCGCAGCAAGACGTCCAGAAGGTGTCCAGAAAGATCTATGGAGTGTTTTAAATTGCATGAGACTTCCCTGGCCTGCCCAGTAGCACCGTGCAGAGATGCCACAACTCCCTGTACAGCTTCTCTGAGAATTGCACCTGTATATCTTCCCCGCACGTGGCATGGAATGCATCAGAGAATGATTCTGGGTGATGATACATCTAACCGGCCGTGTGGATGGCTCAGTGGTTCCTGCAGGAGGAAGCCCGTTCTGTACTTACGTACTGGCACTGCCCCTTCCACCTTTAAGCCGTCAGGGTCGCCTCTCTCTCTCTCTCCCCTCTGCTGACTCCCCACCCGCTTCCTCGTCCCCCAGGTCCTTAACTGATGTCCGTGGAGCAGCTGGGGCGGAAGCAGCCCCAGCGTTGGGACTACACGCTGGGCACAGGCGGGACACCTCCTCCTTGGACGCCTGGCCGGTTTTCTCTCCCCGGCCCCACACTGACACTGACAGGCTGGTGACCGGTCAGAGGTCTGCAGTCTGGATGTGGTGCGAATGGCTTTTCACAGCACGCCCAGAGGAAGAGAGCAGGCTGGCTGGGTCGAGGCTATCGCCGTTCAGAAAATTACCACTATTTTTATTTTTAGACAGCAATAAAAATAATGTCGGGGACCAGAGCAGATGAATGTTCCATTTATAAAGACCCAGAAGCCTGAGTTATAAATGGGGTGGCCCAGCCAAGCGAGGTCGGGGGAGGGGAGCTTGTGGGAGGAGGTGTGCCCCAGCACAGCGGGGAGGTAACAGCCCAGCGTGGGGAACGAGCTGAGCAGAAGTTCTGAGAGGCCCCAGGAGGACCACCTTCAGCAATTCTGGAACTTCCAGTGCCTGCCCAGAGAGTGTTATGTAAAGCACCACCTGCCAGGCACCAAGCTCTGCTGTACCCCTGGGTGTGTACTCACCAAACGCTCCCAGTGGCTTTGCAAGCAGGGTAGCGTCGCCACCATTCAACTTACAAGGAGGTAAAAGTAACACACACCGCAGGTCACGCGGCCCCTGGGTGTCAGGGTTGGGTTTGGCACCCCGTTCTGTTGAAATGACCGTGCTCTCCTTCCACGAGCCTTCACTGCCAAAGTTCCTGCTCTCAGTGACCCACCAGCGTCGTCCAGGCCTTCAGTCCAGCCAGATCTCCACGGGCACGCAGCCCAGAAAATGAACATGAGGGGGGAACCAGGCATGCATGGGCTAGTGTCAGTTTTTCAAACACATCCAGCACCAATGCTGTGAACAGGCTGAGATGTTGACAGTGAGGCTGTGACCCACTGCCTGTGTCCCTCCCTGTGTTCTAAAGGGAAGGCAGCACAGGTACTTTGGATTTCTGCTCTACTGCTTTTTACAAAATTAACTGTAGCCCAATTTCCTTGGTTTTTACCTGATGTTCTTTTTCTGTCCCAGGATCCCGTCCAGGTTACCACGTTACCTTTTGTTGTCCTGACATCTTCAGGTTCCTCTTGGCTGTGAAATTCCTCGGACCTTCCTTGTTTTGGATGACTTGGATGGTTTGGAGGAGCGCTGGACAGGTATTTTATAGAATGTCCCTTGGCCTCGCCACTTTGACCCCCCAGAAGTCCTGCTAGACAGCAAAATTCCTGCAGCTTCCACAAACATCTCTTCACTTCACACCCAGAGAATGACTTTGAGATATATTAGAACAAAGGGCTTTGATGCGTTCATTCATTCGCTCATTCATGCATTCATTCTACCAACACTCGCTGAGACCTCCATATGCTCAAAGAAAGCAGCAGGGGAGGCACGGAGGAGGGTGCAAGAGAAGCCAGAGACGAGGGTGGGGGCAGAAGGAGCACGTGTACTTCCAGTTGATGGTCCTCCCTGCTTCCTCCCTCTGGGCTGCAGCCCCCTCATCAGCGGGAGAAGGGTTGCACCAGACCAGTGTTCTCAGAGTAAGGTAGAGGGCCTCCTGAATGAGAATCTTAAAGGTGCAAGTTAAAAATGCAAATTCTCTATCTTACTTTAGATTCACTGAATCAGGTGCTGTGGTCAGGAATCCACTTGGGGAAAAAAAAAAGACTGCAACTGATTCTGAGGCTCAGACAAGTTTGAGCACCACCAGAAAAGGATACTGAATGGTCCACCTGCCCAGAGGGGATGTGTACAAGCCAGGGTGGATGCCAAGGCAGATGGATGAAAGCAGGTGAGTGACGTCACATGGTGCCACTGCACTGGGTTCCGGGAACCAGTGCAGACACGGAGAGGTGGGGGCTCAGGGAAAGGGGCTGTGATCTGGAAGGCTGTGCCTGGTGTCAGGGGACAGAAACGGCATCCCCTGGACCTGAAGCCCGAGTGTATAGGAGGTCAGAGCTGGGTGGGGTTGGGTAGCAGCTTGTAGGTACAGAAAGGGGAATCAGGAATCCAAGGTGACTTGGAGACTTCAACACAGGTGCCCAAGAGAACAGCATTCTTTCTCAGGAGTAGGGTATCTGTAAGGCCTAGCAGGCATAGAGCAGGAAGGGGGAAAGATGAGTTGGTTTTAGGCATGCTGCATTGAAGGTCTCGGTCAAATATATAAACAGACGTGTCCTGTAGGCATTTGGGGGTCCAGACTCACAGACTTTGGGCCCTAACAAAGCTAGTTTTGAGCTGCCCTGTCTCATCACCCTCCAGCTGAATGACCTTCCATCAGGTCAGCGGGTGCATCTCAGCTTCAGCTCCCTCCTCTGTGAAGTGAGTGCAGCCTTGACCTTCAGGGTTGTACTGGCAAAACCTGAACAGAATCAGGGCTCTGTTGGGGAGGAGGAAGTAGGGAAATGAATGATGAATTAAGTAACCAGTATTATGTGCTCCAGAGATTGTTAAATTATGCCCATTCTCAAACAAAGACACTGAGCCTCCAAGAGATTAAGGCAGTCACCCAAGGTCACAGAGCACATACACGATGGAGCAGGTCAACCTAGGGTCTGCACCATTGCCCACACAGCACCCTGCCACACAACGCCAGAAACGCTTTGTCATTTAGTAGCACGGTGCCACTCAACTGGTTATCACCTCATTTCTGATTAGTATGAACATGATGATTAGCTAATAAGGCAAAGCAGCAGTGAACTTGCTCTGATCATCTTTCTGCGTAAGCAACTTCTGGTTATCTGTCATACAGAGCACATTTTCTCTCCCAACCTTTCCTTTTATGTTAAATATACGATTTTTATCCTCAGTAGGGGGATTATCTCAGAGCAGAATTGGCAAGGTTAAACACTATCTATAAAACACATTCAGCTATGCCACAAAATGAATTACATAATATATCAGCCATCTACCTGGCTTTCAAAAACCTGCAAATGCATTTCTGTTCGGAATGGGTGAGTATTTTATATTTTGCCTCCCTTCCCATGAAGGTAAAAATGACCTTGGTTCTTAGAAAGTGAAGATATATTGAATGGGTGAGGATCAACACAGTTCCATTTCATTTAGTCGCCACTAAAATTGCAAGGAGTGAAAATAGAGATTGAATTTATTTTACTATATATTGCCTCATTTGAACTTTAGTAAGGCATTAGCTTCTAAGGAAAACCCTCCCCCCTTCCATGATCTCTTATTGATGGCATGTTAAGGAAATTGCCTTGACTTTATTGATTCTGAGCTGTGAGGTACAATGTACCCAGTGGTGTGTTAAACTGGGGAAAGTGTGCTGGGCTGGCTCTTGCTGTAGAGCTGGGACTTGCTGACTGTGCAGCACACTGGCCCTACCCAGCACCCATGGCCATTCCCCCGACCCCAAGAGTGAACTGATGCCATGCGGGCCGCATCGGAGCCTTCCCTCCACGACCATGCTTTAAAAGAGGGAGCCCTGGGAGTCAGTGAGCCTCATGACAGGAAGAGGAAAGAGTAGGACAAGACCTCCCCGCTACCAGCCGAGGCCCTCCGAGTGTACAGCTTGCCTTGGGGGGCAGAGTCGGGGGCTCCCCCTTCAGACGTCTCCCCAGGTGGCCCGAAGCTGTGTGTCCTGGCCATGTTGCTTAACTTCTTGGAGCCTCGGAGCCTTCAGCTGCCAAGTGATTGTAGCAGGGAGAAATGAGTTGTTAACCTAGGCTGGCACCCGCGTCCCTTTTACGTATTTGTTGGGGAAACTATTGTGATGGGCCATGCTGGGTAAGGAGGGAGGGAGGGGCCCCAGCAAATGGATGCGTGCAGACACTCAGACAGGCTGGTAGCTAGCACATCCTGCACCGGAAGGGTGTCAGGAATGTGTGGGGATGGGAGAGAATCTGGAACAGATAGAGAAGGGACGTGGAGGTGGGAGGAGAAATGGAGGGGCTGGGCTGATGAAGATAGGATTTTTAAGATCAGGAAATCAGCGATATCTAATGTCATTTGATGTTGTTTGTAGTTTAAAAAAATCTGCTGCTCTCAAACTTTGATAAAGTCTGCCACTCGCACAAAAAGTGATTCAAGGAGGGAGGCTGAAGGAAGGACATAGAGGGTACAGTGTCTGCTACCTTCAAGGGAGTGTTTGGGGCTATGTGTTTGGCACTGACCATGCAGACCGACCTTCACTTGCTGCCCCTGCCAGCCGTCTCCAAAACAGAGAGCGGGTGCCCATCACCTTGCACGTCCTCACAGCCCAGCCCACTACCTCACACAGAGAAAAGAGCCAGTGGCTGTCAGCTGTCCCAGACCATCCCATGCTAGGGAGCCATCGCATCGCTGCTAAGTGAGCTTGTCCACCTCTGAGGACCCCTAAACCATAAATAAAAGCCTGCCCAAGCCTGACAGAAGGGCAGTGTCCCTTCCTTTCTGAACACGATCATGAATTCACTTTCTCAAGAATGAGATCAGAGAGGAGTGTAGGCGAAACAATTAAACCTCTTTTTGCTGCTGTTGAGTGACTGCCACGGCTGTACCCTGGGTATTGCCTAGACTGGCCAAGACTTTCCTTCCCCTCTCCCCACCATCTTAGCAAAAAGGGAAGGGAGTCAAGGATAGAAATGAGGGTCAGGGAGAGAAGAAGCTTATGAAGATCGGCATAAGCATTCAGCAAACGCATGTGCAATAAACTTCAACGGGAGGTGACACTAGACATTATATAGGTCATGGGCCCGTGGCTCAAAGGCGTCCAGTTTAAGTGAGCCGGCCGGTGAGATGGGTAACGAGGAGCCGCTGCTCCCAGAGGGGCTCATGTCCTTTCTAAGAGCGGTAGGCTCTTCTCAGCGCCAATTACTGCCAAGCAGATATAAGAGTCCCCTGTGGCTAGATATTCCTATTTTTTTTTCCCCAAGAAAAGCCAGAAATGTGAATTTTCATATAAAAATACCCATTTGGAAACATTGGAAACCAGTTCAAAAAATTTCACACACTGTACCAGTCAATAAAAATACACCTGCCGGTGGATCCAGTCCCGTTGTTTGATGAGGAACAGTGGTTCTCCGACTTAAGGAAGCAGCGCAGTCTCCTGCAGCGCTTAGTGAGACAGAGATCGCCAGGCTCTCGCCCAGAGTCTCTGAGGCCGAGCCGGGAAGTTGCATTTCTACCAGTTTCCACATCCCAAGATGCTGATGTGGCTGGTCCCCGGACCCCACTTGGAGATCCACTGCTGCTGTTGATCACCAGGGCTTCCAACCTTTCTTTCTGCCCCTGTGATGTCCTGCTGGCTGAGGGGAGGGCCCTGCTCTCTCCTTCAGCTCCCCCCACCCTCCCCACCGCTGACCCCACCCCCACCTCCCTGTGAGTGAAGTTCTGGGAGCGACCTCTCTCTGCCTGCCTGCCTTCAGGGCGTGTTTTAAAAATAGGAGCACAAGGCTCTAATTTAGGGGCTCTTTCATTTCCTGATTATTTTTTCCTGGCAAGGTCTGGGCCCCAAGCATCACACTGTCTCCTCTGAGTCCCAAACCAGAAGACACTCTCCTGGAGAATCTTCAGAGCTGCAATGCCAGCTGCATTTGATCATTATTAATAGTAGATAAAATCCAATATAAATCCTCTTGGTGCCAGGGGTTCTGCAAGGTTGCTCTAATTGCCTGGAGCTTAAAACATACTTTTAACCTCTTCTGCCTTCAGAGAGTCAGTTCCAGCTAGGCCAGGGGAAATTTAGAAATGATTGGGGTTCTGATTAGGGCATGAGAGCACGCTTCTGGGAACTCAGGAGGGTTGGAAGGCGCAGCACGTACTGATTGCTCCAGGAGGACTGTGCTCACCCAAGACTCTAGTGTGACTTGTTCTTTTTAAAACTAGAATCACAGAGCTGACCTGATTGTCTCCCCAGCACAGGCGCTGACTAGCAAGCAGTAACGCCTCTTCCTCCAGTTCCCACGGAGAGTGGTGCAGACATTGCTGAAGACCAGGTTTACAGGGTAGCCCAGGAGCTAGAGATTGGGAATCAGCTGTCCTAAAAGACCCACTGCTAGGACCCTGAGATGACAGCTCATACGCACCTCTCACGGTGGTGGATCTAAGAACTTCATCCCCCAAGTTCCAAATGCTCCCTCTCTTGTCCCCAGTGCCTACATGTCTTATCCCTGAAATCTCCCAACCCCTCTTCACTGATAAGACATGAAAATGGAAGAGCAGTAGGCAAGTCTTAGGGTAACCACGCAAACCACTGGCATCTGGGAAAGGCCACCCCATAGGGCAGGATGTCACAGAGCAGGTGAGCACAAGCAGCTGTAAATAAGGTGGCCACAGGGCTGGGCATCTGAGTTTGGTGGGTTCCACTGGAAACACCTCAGACTTGGACAGTTCTAACTGAGGAGTGAGGTTCCTGACCTGGACTCTTACAGGTGAAATCTAGACCAGGAAACATGCACAGTCCTGCCAAGATCCTGCTTCAGGAAGCCTGACACTGGTACCCAGGCTTCCCAAACCACTCCCCTCTCACCCCTCCACCCCGCTGTCTGTGGTTAAGTCATTACCCCTTTCACACAGGGTCTGGGGCTTGTGTTTCTGCCATTGTTGACTGCACTGAATCCTTCTCGCTGCACCTAACACTCATTTTCCCTGTCTGAAATCAGGAATTCTGGAATTGTTAGAACCATTAAGAGACCTGAGCCCCATCTGTAAGGTGTGTGTAATGATAGTTGAGGATCAAACCTGGACAGCAGCCTCAGAGTCCTTGGCAACCGTGAACAGCTACGAATCTGAAGACAGGCAGTGGGGAGGGCTGCTTTGCCAGGAACAGTGAGGGATTCACACTGACCAGCTACATCCTTGCCGTGTCACCATTCCAATCAAGTGACTCTTCTCAGAGGATCTGAGATCATGAGATAGAGCCTTGCTTCTCAAGGTGTGGCAGACAGAGCCTCGACCTGGACATCTCTTGGGCACTTCTTAGGAACGCAGTCTCTGGAGCCCCGCCCCACACCTCCGATTCAGATCCCAGATCTGACGAGCCCCAGGTGACGCCTGGGCAACTAGCCTAAGAACCCCTAGGGGAGGCCTTCCCTTTCCTGTCCTCCCTCGGCCCCTTCACTCACCTCCACTGGAGTGCTTAGCTTATTTGCTGCAAGTTTTACACTTCACTTGTTTGTATCCAAGAAAAGAGCGGTAGCCAAAGCCAACGAGAAATCTGGAGACGCACAGGGCACAGATCAGGGCTTAAAGCCAGCTGTGCTGCTGATCAGCTCGGGGACCTTAGTGGGGTAACTTCGCCGCTCTTGAGTCCTCATTTCTCCACCATGAAAAGGATCATTTCCACCTCACAAGGTTGTTGTGAAACAAAGCAGTTAAAACATCTGACTCTGTGTGAAGCACACAGTGGGCATGCAAAAAAAATCTCCAAGGCCTACCTTAGTGCTTGGCGTGCAGTAATACTTAGGAAATTTAATTGAAATAAGTTGAAGCCGGTTGAGGTTCAGCCTCCAGCGAAACTGAATGTCTGCATGGGTGGGAAGGAGTTTCAGAAACTTCAGTCTCCCTGCTTGCTCTCATATCTCTTCTCCTTGATAGTTTTCATGTTGTGTCTTCGGCTGTCGACAAAGTATCTTCCCTTGCCTTACAAGAGGCAAGAGGATGGATGGAGACGCACGGGGACCGAGAGCAGGGCCGACCTCCAGATTTCAAAGCAAAAGAAGCGAAGTGGTGAGTGTGCCTGATTCAGTCCTGGCTTCTGTTTTGTTTGGCCCATACAGATTTTAACTTTTTTTAATTACTTGAAGACTTTTAAAAATCTGGAGAATTTAGGGGGAAAAAATCTGGCTTTCTAGCTTTCCTTAAAAATGCTGGCCTAACTCAACCCCCACTGCCTGGCAACGCTTGTCCGGAGCTGAGATTCGCTGCTCCCTTTGGCAGGACCTACCCTCTCCACTAGGTCACAGTCCACACGTTCCCTCTTATCACACTTCACCCACACACTGATCCTCCTCCCTCCAGGAGGTGGGGCCTCATTCCACTCTGTGGAGTGTGGACTGCACCGAGAGACTTGCTTCTCACGTGCAGAAAGGGAAAAATAGAAACTCGACAGTAGAGGAATTCGGCAGGCGTCACCAGTGATGGAGGGTAACATCAGCAATACACTGTGTTCATTTCATGTGCCTCTGATGCGACATGAGACAGTCACGTCACCCTGGAGGTGCCTTTCCCCCAAATCCATGTCCCAGTCTAATCATGAAAGGTATCAAACAAACCTGAATTGAGGGACATTCTACAAAACATCTGACCAGTCCTCTTCAAAAGTGTCAAGGTCATGAGAAACAAGACTGAGAAACTGTCACCGTCTGGTGGAAACTGAGGAGACGTGACAAATAAATGCAACTGAGAATCCTGGATGGAATCCTGGAGCAGAAAAGAGCCTGATAGAAAAGCCGTCAAATATGAATAAGGTGGATAGTTTAATAAGTTTGTAAACATGCTGATTTCTTAGCTTTGATAAATGTACTGTGATCGTATAGATGTTAACATTCAGCGGAGACTGTGTGAAAGGTACACTAGAACTCTCTTTGCAGCTTTACTGTAAACCTAAACTTACTTCAAAACAAAAATTTTTTTAAATGTATGCTGAACATCATTCCAGTTCAACAGAGATCTACTAACATATTTTTGATGACTGCCTAGCATTTCATTGTATAGAAATGCCAAATTTTACTTAATCAGTATCTGGACCCCCCACCCCAGTTTTTCTGTTGTAATAATACTGACATGATAATTCTTTTTTAATTTTTAAAAACATTTAAAAAATTGAAGTATAGTTGATTTACAATGTTATGTTAGTTTCTGGTGTACAGCAAAGTGATATACACACACACATACTCTTTTTAGATATATAAATATAGGGACAGATATATATATATTCTTTTTCAGATTCTTTTTCTTTTCTTTTTTTATTGAAGTGTAGTCAGTTTACAATGTTGTGTCAATTTCTGGTGTACAGCATAATAGTTCTGTCATACATATACATACATATATTCATTTTCATATTCTTTTTCATTACAGATTACTACAAGATATTAAATACAGTTCTCTGTGCTATACAGGAGAAATTTGTTGTTTATCTATTTTATATATATAGTCAGTATCTGCAAATCTCGAACTCCCAATTTATCCCTTCCCACCCCCTCCCCTGCTGGTAACCATGTTTGTTTTCTATGTCTGTGAGTCTGTTTCTGTTTTGTAAATAAGATCATTTTCTTTTTTTTAGATTCCACATATGAGTGATATTATGTGGTATTTTTCTTTCTCTTTCTGGCTTACTTCTCTTAGAATGACAATCTTCAGATCCATCCATGTTGCAAATGGCATTATTTTATTCTTTTTTATGGCTGAGTAGTATTCCATTGTATAAATATACCACAACTTCTTTATCCAGTCATAAGATTCTTTTTCATTATAAGATACTGAATATAGTTTCCTCTTCTATATAGTAGATCCTTGTTCTTTACCTATTTTATATATAGTCATGGGTATCTCTTAGTCCCAAGCTACTAATTTATCCCTCCCTTCACCTTTCCCCTTTGGTAACTATAAGGTTGTTTTCTAAGACATGATAATTCTTTAATTCACTTCTGTGTACTTGCCCTTAGGATAGATTCCAAAAGGTACAATATCTGGGTACATTTAAAGTTCTTTTTTCCAGCATCTGGGGGTTTCTGCACCGTTGTCCCTGGAAGAACATGTGTACAGTTGCTGTTCCTCAGACCACACCTGGATGTGCTGAACTCAGTATCCAGGGATTCATAGGCCTAGGGATCTGCATTTTCTTCAGCAGGCCAGCCAGTTGTTATGGGCAGGGAACATTTGAAAAGGGCTGGTCTGTTCCTGGTTCAAAGAACCTCAGATGAGTTGCAGATACCTCAGTTGGCTCACACCCGCCAGAGGCCTAACGAACCCAGGAGCTGCAGGTGAACATCACTGTCTCCTGCCCGGTCTTCAGGAAAGAGCTGCTTCAGTTGCCAGAAAAGCTGTCCCTCTGGCTTTCTAGGGTGACTGGCTCATCCTGCTTTGCCCGGGAATTTCCCAGCTCTCTCACTGAAAGCCCCATGTCCCAGGAAAACCCTCAGTCTAGGAGAAACTTGGATGGTCAGTTGCTCTAAGTGATCTTGAGAGAACCCCATCCCTACCCAACTGTGTGGCTAGGACAATTCTGCAGCTGTAGGTTTTAGAGGAGGAAACCAAGATCTCCCTGACTCCTTGGTTCGACTCCTCCTTCATAACACCTCTCTTCCTGCTCCCAGTACCTCCTGCGTGCCGTGTCCTCCACCAGGCAGCCTGCCACACCCCTCCTGCTGCTGTCTAGACATCAGCCAGCTCCTATTCAAGTATCAAAACTCAGCTCCATGATCACCTCCTCCAGGAAGCCTTCCTGCCTCTCCACAGGCTGGGTTAGAGGGCAGTGCCTCTGTGCTCCCTATCTGGGCTTTCAATCCCTGCCCAGGGGAGTCAGCTTGGCATGAAGGTTACAGAGTGTGTCTTGTCACAAACGCCACCTCACCAAATTCCTATTCTCCCGCTAGCAGCCAGTTGACATTGGGCAAGTTACTTAACCTCCCTAAGCCTACATTTCTCCATCTGCAAAATGGGCTTAATAAGACCACCCACCTCATAAAGGGAGTATTGGATTAACTTAAGTGAGAAAAATGTATGTGTAACTCACCACATAGTAGATGCTCAATAAATGGTCTCTGAAAGGATGAATGAATGCAAAGAGTTGAAAAATTCAGTTCAGAGCCAAAAGCCAGCCATCATCTCCTGGTCCCACCTCCTGCCCTCACTCCCTGTACGTGCAGCTTCCTTTATCACAGGTGTTCTTAGCCTTTCCAGCGCTATGGACTCCTACAGCAGCCTGGTCTGATGGACCCCTTCACAGAGTAACTTTTTGAATGAGTTAAATAAAATAACAGATTATAAAGGAAGCTAATTATATTGAAATCATTATAAAAATATGAAGCATAATTTGAGATACAGGAATATCTGTGCTTCTCTATCAACACATTAAATAAGAGCTAGCAGCAGGTCTAATAATGACTATAATTTGAAGTAATGATGAACTTAAGTGGTCTCTCAAGATAACTGCAAAAAGATTCACGGGGTAGAAAAACACCCATGCTTCGTCTTGGTGAGAATCCTGCCAGCATTGCTGTCTGTTGCCTCCTTTTGTAATTGAAGAAAATGCTGAATTTTACCTAGAAGTCAGTGAAAACGAGGATGCAATGTTTTAAATATCCAGGTTTACAGACCCATTGAATTCTGCCCTTGGACCCCGGTGGGGAGGTGTCCACAGAGTCCGAGTTAAGGAGCCCTGCCATCTGTGCCAGCAACCTGGGGACCAGGCCACGAGAGAGGCTTCCCTCCAGCCTGGGGTACGGTTGGATGTGGGGGGACGTTCTGTGTCCCTGCTGCTGCTGGAACGTTTAGGATGGTTCTCTTTCTAGCCCTTCAGAACATTTCTTGCACATCAGGACACATCAGGAGCGTCACTAGGGATCGTCTGGCACCTGGTCTTTCCATGACCGGAGTGGCTGCCAGAGGCCACAGCAGTAACAGCCCTGAGTCCCCAGAAGGACTCCTGGGAAAACACACGGCAGAGGGAGGCAGGCAGGGCCCCACTCTGGTGGCTCTGCTGCAGCCGGACCACCAGTCAGAGCAGATCCATGGGCCGGGGGGCCCTGAGGGTCACACAGCTCAGGGACCTCTCTTTAGAGGAAAAAAACACAAAATTACTCATAGAAAATTAGGTCTAAAAATGAATGCCTAGAATGAGAAAAAATGACAACAAATTCTAAATATTAAAAGGCTAACAACACAAACAGCACAAAATCCAAAAAAACCAGCAGATTATTTTCATTCTAGCTGCCTGACACCCCCTTTCCCCTGCAAGTATTTGTCTGGCTTCTGTTTTGTTGCTGCATGACCTGACAACAGTTATATAATATTTTTCTACAGAGCCAGGAGAGGGATGAGTCTTTTCTCGTGCGTGGTGGTTCAGATTTGTTCTTCCTATTACTGATAGTTTATGAAGTTTCTTGTAGCTTCACAATTCATAACTGGTAAGGCCATATGCTTTTTTAGGATTATTATCAACTGGTGGGGATCTTCTCTAAGTGGAGTGCTCTCCGGGCATTTCAGGTTTTCTTAGGCGGTGGCCCGTCTTTAAGTTGAAGACACTCATTGACCAGTCTGTCACCACGTCATCATCATGGTGGCATATTAGGAAGTTGATACCCTCAGAGCTGACAGGCGAGAACTTCCCGTTTTTGAAGAAGCATTGCAGAGAACGGAAGCCTTCACTTACAAGTTCACATTATCAGGAAAGTGGAAGAAATTTCCTTGAAACGTGTTTCCAGTCTTACTTCTCCCACCCTCCACGTGGCTCCGTGTGGCACACTGTCCTCTGTGTTTCATATCGTGTGACATTCCCAAAGGCCCTGCACCTCCGACACACAGCGCCGAGTGAGTCAGCTCCGAGGGAGGTGAGAGAATTCGTGGAAGTCATTCCTGCAGCAAGTCACCCGTCACAACTTAGCTAAACCACAAAGTGACCGTGGACCACGGCCTTCCACATCCCTTCACCAGATCCCTGAACAGCCCGTGGCTGCCTGCAGCCCTGGAGGGGCAGTGGGACAGAGCTGTGTACAAGCAGAAAGGGGCAGT